TGGTTGTCTCTCGGCTTACCAAGACATTAAACCTGGTAGCGCCGCCATGGAACATGCCATACCAATATTGTACACTGAGTCGCCGATACCTCCAGCTAATCTCGTTTTGGTCCACCAAGGGGACATAACTCTCTTCTCTTATCTATCTAGGTGAGGCCCAGTAGTTCGTGCGATCATTTCTCAAGCTGAATATCCAGGTTTGATGCCCGACGAGAGTACACTTATATTTCAAAAAAGCAATTCACATGGTGTTTCTAATATACTTAGCATATGTGTTATAACCTTCATCAAAAAAGCTCATCTTTCATTGCAAGTTCAGTGAGCATGATCGAAATACGAAGTGAGATTGTAGTCTGTTCTACAAAAAAACAAAACATGTGAAACAAGATTAAATTGTTTCAAACCTAAAACCAATTCACGTTAACTTCATAAACACGGTCATCGTTTCAATTTATGTCATTCGGATGTAAATCGATTTTAAACCTAATATTCTACAAATGGTAGTTCGGAAATTATTCTGCTAATCTATACCGAGTTCCTTCTCTTGGGTCCTGTTTGTCGATGTTTGAAATGCGTCCTTACGGCTGCGCATTACAATAGAGAAACCATTTAACAAGCTTGTTCGACATTGGCGGTAAGCTCCTCTCCCTGAGGAATTCCTATTACCAACGACTAAAAGCAGTGTCTCAGAGGGATCGCCCCGCGGTAGACGTACAGTGATGAGTTTACCATGTGTCGCTCTGTCCTCACCTCATTTAACAGACGTTCTTTTGTAATAGAAAATAATAAACACCAGTAGATTTAAGAGAGGGAAATATTTCAACATTATTTCTTCCCGGTCTTTTGTCATATGAATTCCAAAGACTTTACTAGTTTGAAGCCACGCGTACAATTTCACGACTTGTCATTATTTTTGGTAATCGTTTTATTTTAAAAACTTACTTTGAAGTTTTCCCTTTATAGCATTCCCAAAGAAAACGTATATTAAAAATAAAAATTTAATTGAATATGTGCTGGGTATTTTGCGCAGAGGGTAGTTTGTTTTTGAGCGCAAGACTCCCGATATTCCAGATCTATGTGACCAAGGCGGAGGTAAAATGGGGTTTATCGTCGCACTTATTAAGGGACGTGCATGAATGCACGTGTGTGTGGGGGGTCTTGCACGTACTGCTCAGGAAAAGTGCCGGGTTTATAGTGCTAGCACACTGAGGTACCACGCCGCAGTTTTAACATGGATAACCTCAGACACTGTAGACTCATGCCGAGCCGAACCGCCAATGCCGAGCACCAGGCAGGGAAACAACAAGTACCATCATTTAGCGTCTTTTGGTATGACGCGACCGGGGATGGAACCGACCTTCCACTCTCCGGGGAGACGGTCTACCACGAGGCCACGGGGGAGGCCATGAACACGGAGGGGAACACTTATGTTATTGGTTTCAGGCGGAAGATTTTGAGTGGAAGTTGCGGTGAGTTGCAAACTCGGTGACTCGAACTAAATGTACTGTGCGCATATTTATTCCGGGAAAACCGGAAGTACAGAAAGCAGGTGTCAGAGAACACGTACACGTAGTTTTCTGAATATTCTTTTTTTAGTGGAATCAATTCTGTTTCAGAAAGCTGTCTCCACTAATAGAGCAAGGGTCATGAGTCCTTCGTGAATACATATAACAATTTCAGGTACAGTAAGATAAGATAAATACCCTGAAGATAAAAAACAACAAGTTTTCTCTGCGTTGAAAAACACATTCCGTGCCGGGCTCAAAGTCAATACATCGCAGCTTGTTTATACAAATAAACAAAGCAATATCTTAGATATACCAGCTTCGTCACTGTCTGTGTTTAAACATTGACATTCTCGACAACACTGTTAGAGTAACGCTTCCGACATTCAGGTTCACTAAGTCCGTACTGAAAGCTCCCCCGGCTGTTTTTGACACCCCTATCGAGTGCAGCAGACACACAATTAGCGCTAAAACCTCCTAATCCTCTTTTGAAAGTAAAAATTCAACCAGATGTAATTGTATGCTATTCTGATTCCAAATTAGCTCCGATGACCTAGGTACTTCCTATAGGAAAGCATTACCCACAACTGACAAAATAAGAGACCTTTCTCTAGATCTAAACTAGAAGTAATGCCTTTGGTGTTCCGGTATTTTCGTTTACAGACTTCCTCAACGATACCTATATCCCCAACATCTGGCGGGGATAACATGTAATTGGCTATACGAGATATTCCACATCATTTCCAAAGAGATTATCAAGGATCTGATGCAAATCTGTTGGGGGAAGACGAGAGTGGAGCAGATAAGATGGAATCTATAGTTTTAAGAGGAACCGCTGGTATGAATATAGACTTTTAATGACGTGACGGGTTATGTTTCATTTTGTAAGGTCTTAAGGATTATTGGGAGAATGTTCCCTAATCCGAACTACAACACGGCTATTTCTTCGAAGACTTTCGGAATAAAAGCGGTGTCAAGGTAACACTCTTGCGAATTCCGCTTAATCCCCAGAAACCTGACATGTGCTGTCACATATGAACACAAGTCAAAAGTATCTGTAGATGACAACCAGGGTATTCAAAGTCCCATATTTGGGACACGTGAACTGAGTGATGTTTTAAGCCACAATATGAATAAAATCAGTGGTTGACTGCATGAGCAACAATCTACACCATCAAGGCCCGGTGACACCCAATCTTCCAGCGTCCCACTGCCATCTGAGAGGTGTGACTATGTTAAACTATGGGGTTTACGATAATGGAAGGGGTCAAGGGTACACATTAATTTATGACCACCCGATGTTGGTGACAGTTATGGACTTCCAATATTTTCAGGATCCCCAGTGAACAATTCTTTTTAGTGTGTAGAGGGGCGGTCGGGGAGCCTACTGGTTAAAGCGTTCGCTCGTCACGCCGAAGACCCGGGTTCGATTCCCGACATGGGTACAATGTGTGAAGCCCATTTCTGGTGTCCCCCGCCGTGATATTGCTGGAATATTGCTAAAAGCGGCGTAAAACCATACTCACTTACTCACTTGGTAACAAGTTATCATTTGAGCGTCAACCCAAGCAACGGGTTCAACCTGCTTTAAACAATTACCCTGCCACTCACTTACTTTAGTGTTTAGAACCTGAGGTAGAACTGTTACAAATTAACTCACCCCCACACTTTCTCAAACACACACGCACGTATACACACCCACACACACGCACGCACGCACGCACGCACGCACGCACGCACGCACACACTCACACACACACACACACACACTGACAGGCTACTCGGTCCCCCACAGCTGCCCTAATTTGACACTGTTTACATGCAGAGAATTAACCCTGCTTCACTTAGTTCCGACCAACAACGAAACACTGTCGATACCTGATGAACCTAGACCACAGCCATTGTACAGAACAAACCTCAGACACGGCCTCGGTTAACCAGTTTAATGCTGGATCTTTGTCGACGATCTCGTTGACTGTCTTTGTAATGGAGCTTGGCGGAAACAGGCGTCCCCAGCCATGTTAAATATATATCATATTTCAGACCTGTCATGTTTGCATTATGACGACTTATAAATAGTCGTGGATCGCTGTCAGTGCTAAGGAGTGTCAAGACTCACAAACAATCTGTCAGTCAGCAGAAAAAAATATATGTTGACGATATTCGGTTCTTAGTTTACAGCCAGGTTAACTAAGATTTTTGAAACATTTTAAAGAAAAAAAGTATGTAGTCGTGTGCTACACATGTGGACATTGGGTAGTGTGTGTTTGTCGATATACAGCTCATTTCACCATATGTATGTAAACTACTGCCCCAGTGTAGATACGACAAGAGTTGTGTACACAGCTTAACGTCGATCTGTTAAAACGCTAAACGCTTATTCAGGTACGGAATATCAACAGTATTTATATCATGTTACAGTTTGAATCTGATAAAGACATAAAGGGCTGATCATAATCAGGACTTGAAAATGATGACATGTAGTTGAAGAAATAGGAAATACCACGTCAAGTAGGCCAGTATTATCTGTGTAAGACATCCTCATATTGCCACAGGAACATACGAGTCCATTCAATAAACTGTAAGATCTGAACTGAAATCAATAACTACAGTCTCATTATATCCGCAAATGTTTGGGTGAGTGGGTTGGGTTAACTTGCTTTGAGCAGAAGTTCAGTAGGAAAGCGTCAGACAAGAGTGAGTGAGTGAGTGAGTGAGTTGGGTTTAGCGCCGCTTTTAACAGTATTCCAGTTATATCGCGGCGTGTCAGCTTAATGTGGGAGGAAAGCCCGAAGTGATGCAGGTCTTAGACGTTTACCACTTCGGTGAAACCCACGAGCACGGGTATGGTGCTGACCAACCTAGAAACACAATTGGGGCGAACCGGGATTCGAACCAACAATCATAGGTTTCTGGCGTGCCCAAGGGACGCAACTCTGCACAGCGAATCGCGACATCTTAGACGACTGGGCCACCCGTGCCCCCCTGTCAGACAAGAAGTATTTTAGTTATTACAGCATGTTGATATGGGATAAAAACGCTCAGTGGCGCATTTCGATGACGCCGACCATTACGCTGAATCCATTGAGCAGGATGTTGTGCTGACAGGAAACAGTCATAACCGGATTGAATCTTATTAACACCGGATCCTGGAGGCTAAGGGAGGTAACTCCACATAACGAAATACGGTGCTCTTCTACAACCGGACCTTCTTGCATCTCGTAGATATTTAAACATCCACGTCTTAATTGTTTCAACTTCAGGTTTGTTTGTTTGTTGTTTTACGCCGCACTCAGCAATATTACAGCTATATGACGGAGGTCTGTAAATAATCGAGTCTGGACCAGACAATCCAGTGACTGACATCATGAGCATCGATCTACGCAATTTGGATACGATGACATGCATCAACCATGTCAGCGAGCCTGATCACCCGATCCCGTTAGTCGCCTGTTACGGCAGGCATGGGTTGCTGAAGACCTATTCTACCCCAGATCTTACCGGGTCGATTGACACTATTCAACTTTATAATAAGTGTGAGATACATGTTTACATAAAGTGGCCCGGAAAATGACATGCCTCAAATTAGGACAAGGAAAAGTATTAAACGATCAATTATTAAACTAATTTCAAACTTTATGGTTCCATAGTAGCTTGAGAAGGCTCAATGATACACATGACCTTTACACGAGCTAGAAGGAAAACTGTTCAAAAGTTTGCAAGCGAGAAGTGTATTAGGTCGAAAGTTTCCTCTGACTAAGCAGGTGCGCGTGTTTTAATGACACGAGTTGATTCAAATAGGCGTGAATGTCACTTGTGAACAAATTCAAGGACTAAAAAAAACTCGTCTTTCTATTCGACTGCGTGTGTGTTAGGCCATGACTGTATGCTCCCGCACTCTGAAGATCTGCTGTCGTGGCTTGTACCGGGTGGCATACAATAGCACCCCGTGGAGAGGATACACCTTGTTGGCAATGATCATGGATTAAAGGCACACCGAGAAAGCCAAATATATGAAGTACTGTGTCAAGCCGTGCAAAGGTACACTTCTGTTGAATGACCCCAGCCTAAATGGCCCTACGCACTCGTTCCGCTCAGCCACAAGGGATTTCACAAGCCTGATATCACAATGTACACCGTGTTGTCGCGTAAGTGTTTAGCGGGCTTCCGTGAACCCATGCTTACTTCAACAACACGCCCCCTCCTGTTTAATACCTCGGAAAAGAGGATTACATGAGGAGCGAAAGTAAACAGCCACGATCGTTCACAAAGAGGAAATTATTGGGGCACATCTTTAACATAGAGATACAACTTTACTTTGGTGTATTTGGGTTAATATACTAGAGACTAAAACGAGAACGGGGTTCATCAAAAGATGGGATTATAAAACGAAATGTCGAAAGTTAAAATTAAATGAAGTGTATAAATTCATTATTTTTTATCACCCAACCACTCACACCCCCTCCACATCGACATCTGCACATTCATCCTATTTAAAGGTTTCTAAATCATGTGAATACATTTACATAGTTGCGGCACCCGTGAAGATCCGGGGTAGAATAGGTCTTCAGCAACCCATGCTTGCCGTGAAAGGCGACTATGCGTGTCGTAAGAGGCGACAAGCGGGATCGGGTGGTCAGGCTCGCTGACTTCATTGATGCATGTCATCGAATCCAAATTTCGTGGATCGATGCTCATGATATCAATCACTGCTTGTCGGATCCAGACTCGATTATTTATAGACCGCCATCATATAGCTGGAATATTGCTGAGTGTGGCGTAAAACAACAAACAAACAAAACATAGCTGCGGCGAAGGTAAGGCCTTGACGTACCGTCAATGCTATTAGAGTTCCTGTTTGTCTCGAATGTACTAACGTGCGAGTACAATTAATATGGACACGCAGTTTAGAAAGTACAGTTTGCATTGTATACAACAACGAACATAAATCATTTTCATTTTCAATTCATGTTCGTTTCTTTATTGTTCCACATTTTACGACCACTGATGTTGACTAGAGGTGTGAATGATGGCGAGGCTGTCAGCGTACCATCTGGCAGTCAACTAATTGATCACCTTGCCCTCTTTAAGCCCGTGCCCGAGTCTCTAATGACTTCAACACAACCCTTTTCTTTATCGAGGTTTAAGAAGACAGAGTAAGGTTAACGATAATTTGTACGATCAAATTAAGCCTCAGTGCAATATTGATTTGCATTATAATAAAACATCGTTAAATGTGACCATGTGCCATGCCCGCCGCCACACGAGGAGCTGACCAACAGAGTCTAAAGTCTCCGTAATCTCAGGTTTAACGGCTAACGGAGAGTGTCCAAGCGTTGAGGCTGCTTTGTCAAACGGGGTCCGAATAACGTTGACGACGACGCGGAAATTTCTTGTACGTGCAGGAGTAACGTTTAAAGCAGGGTGAACCCTCTACTTGTAGGGGTAGAATATACAGTAAATTACGTTTATAAAGAACACGCTTATGGCGAAATGTTGGATACAACGAACTGTTTCTTGGTGCCGTCCATTTTCTGTTTTGATATTGTACATATGCTTATAACGAACTACGGTTATAACGAATTAAAATTAGTGGTCCCTTTGAGTTCGTTATAACCGTAGTTCACTGTATATGACTGGTGCACCGTTAACCGTTTATTCATAGGCAGGGTAATTGTTTAAAGCAGGTTGAACCCGTTGCTTGGGTTAACGCTCAGATGATAACTTGTTACCAAGTGAGTAAGTGAGTATGGTTTAACGCTGCCTTTAGCAATATTCCAACAATATCACGGCTGGGGACACCAGAAATGGCCTTCACACATTGTACCCATATCGGGAATCAAACCCGGGTATTCGGCGGGACGAGCGAATGCTTTAACCACTAGGCTACCCGACCGCCCCTTGTTACAAGGAATTTACAGGAATATAAATGGATGCAAGCCCATTTTAAAGTTAACCTATGCGACAGAAAATAACTCCCCAGTAAAAGGGAGAACCATTCTCCACTACCAGTGAACGTTTAGCCCCTTCTCTACTCCCCTCGATGCTCATATTGTCAATCACTGGATTGTCTGGCCCAGACTCACGTATTTACGCATGTCTGTGTTTGTGCTTCAATACAACTCACTATGTGGCATGTACACGTTGGTCTGTCCTTGAAGTGGCACAGCCGCTGGTTATAACTAGGTGAGGTGAGGTGAAATGGGGTTTAACGTCGCGTCCAAGATTATTGCACTTATATAGCGACGTGCATGTACGTGTGTGAGTTGGTGTGGCTGCTTGTACTAGTCCTGACTGATGCCGATTTATAGTGCTAGCTCACTGAGATACCATGCCGCAGTTTAACATGAATACCCCACTCAGACACAGTATACTGACTCCGAGCCGACCAGTCCTTGTTTTAGCCCCTTAATGCCGAGCGTCAGACAGGGTAACAACAAGTACCATATTTCAACGTCTTTTGGTATGACGCGGCCGGGGATCGAACCCGGACCTTCCGCTCTCCGGGCGGACGCTCTACCATTAGACCACGGAGGCGGTCCTGGTAATAACGAAGCATGCGTATGTAATGTTACCTAATGTTGTGTAATGTATGTTGCATGATTACCTTTCAAACTGGTAAAACAGCTCCTCACGACTAAATTATCCTGATTATTCTCTTCACGGAGATTAGATGACTCGCATTCCGTTTATAGATAATTGAAATCATGAATTTCCGAGACGGTGACATGATCGGTTCCTCGTTACGGGGGAAACCGGATTTAGATATCTTGTTTATCAATCAGGGTTTTCTCACGGACGTTCATGATTTGTATGTGAACAAAGACAAGGGAAATTTATCGTTAGTGATAATAATGCAGGATATTACTTTTACAATTCGCTTCGTAACTTAAGCATGAGTCATAAAGAATGGCAAAATAGTATCAAACTTAACACGGGGAGGATACGTTTAAGATTAAAAAAACCATAATAGATTTATACGTCAGTTTTACGAAGCAGACGGTACGATCATACGAGACAGAAGTAAATGTAGCGACAGTGATCAGGATAGATGGTTTAGAAGAGCTTCTGTTACACTACATGGATCATTCTATATATAAGTGAGTGAGTTGGGTTTAACGCCACTTTTAACAGTATCCAAGTTATATAACGGCGTGTCAGCTTAATGTGGGAGGAAAGACCGAAGTGCTGCAGGTCTCAGACGTTTACCGCTTCGGTGAAACCCACGAGCACAGGTATGGTGCTGACAAACCTAGAAACATAATCGGGGTGAACCGGGATTCGAACCAACAATCATAGGTCCGGCGTGCCCAAGGGACGCGACTCTGCACAGCGAATCGCGGCGCCTTACACGACTGGGCCACCCGTGCCCCTTATATGAACCAGGACAAGCCGCCATGTATGGGTACCAGAAAGTGTCGAATTTTGAAGTATGCAAACGTATGTCATACTACAACCACGCCATCTTAAACATAACTACATGGGTGAGTCTGCCTCATGGGCTAATGTGCCACATTTCCGATGCAGAGGTATCCCCCTTAGCTTTGCCAGGATCCGGTGATCATTGGTCACTCACTGGATCGCTTAGCCCAGACTGGGTTATAGACAGCCTGACGTAAAACAGTTCGAGAATTGCTGACCGTGAGCGCGAAACGACATTCTGTCGCACCCACACTCCTCCCTCAACATGGCATTGTACCAAACAGCAAGGCAGTATGTACATACAGTTTCTCAACGTTATTTGTGATGTCACTCCGCCCTGATCGACCACCGGCGTCTTCCCCACATGTCAACTCATGTCAAGAGAAACACGACACCATGTAAATACCATTATGTCACATTAATCCGATCGCATCTCACAAACAAGTCCTTAAACCCGACACACACGTTCCGGGGACCTAAAGCCGAGAGTCTTGCAGGCATTTAACATCCGGGCACTCATCTATGATATCTCCTGCAGGTTTCAAGTGCGCTGTCAGACGTTATAGACAACGAAAGGCGATATAGAGGGAAGGGACATGCTATCAGGTTCACGGAGTGATGTCTTCAAGAAGGAAATAGCTATCTAATGATTGAAACTGGGGCATGATAACGAGGTAAAAATATATTCGTGAAAAACATTTTTGTGAAGTTATCTGAAGCCTGTGCTCAATAGAAACTCCATGTTGTTAAAGTCTCATAAAAGTCCTCTCTATCGTTGTTTGTGTGTCAATTATTTGTACTGCTTAATTTAAGTGTCTGGATGGTGCTAGGGGCAATAAAGTATCTCGTTAATATGTCAGACAAAGATCACGAAACTATTAAAGGTAAGATCTGGTAAGTTTGGTCAGGTACAAGTTATACGTCTTATTTAACGCCGTCTCGCTTACTCTGAACCATTCACTCTCTCACTGTCCTGAAACATTCATCTAGGTTATGCCTCAACTTTCCAGGTTCTTGATGTACATAAAAAACATCTCCTCACAAGATGGTGAAGCTGCTTGAGAGAGAGAGAGAGAGAGAGAGAGAGAGAGAGAGAGAGAGAGAGAGAGAGAGAGAGAGAGAGAGACGAGGACGAAAGTTGGAATTCATTTACGTATTTTAATGTCAACCTTATATATTTGACCTTCGGCTTCATGACAAATTTTAGTAGGAATATGTTGTGCTATGTTAATCTACCGTCTTTCCTCATGCAATATTGGCTTAACTGGTAGAAAAGGAGCCCTTCCTTTAAGCACTATCAAGTATAAACAATGTCGGCTAGCAGGTATTTCTTGAAAATGTCAATCATTTTTCCATGAGTGTGTGTATTCTTCATAAGTTGAGGCCACAGCTTCGTTATATACATGATCTTGTCGAGAGTTGCTGAAAGAATTTGCCCTTTAAGACTTGATCGACATCTGACATATGAGGGGTTTTATGAGCATACGTCTTGCCGACGAGGATAGTTATCAGTGGCTGTTATGACCTTGACTGGTCTCAGTGTGTTGCATGCTAAACGTAGGAGCTTTCAACTCAGTTGAGGATGGCATGGATAGAGATGGTATTGTTAACCTTGTGAACCATTCAGTAACATTTAACATGTTGGGATTTAGAACAAAGGACTTTAGCAAATATGAATAATAAATTAAGTCCTTCATTTCCTTTGTTTATGAGACAAATATGAAAAATCATTATTTTTCCCAAGAATTTCCGTAATTGCACAGAGACAAATATGAATATAAGACATTTTAAGTGAGTGATTTCAGAAGCATCTCTTATACATCGCAGGGCAAATATCAATATGAATATACCATGAATGTTACATGTCCTGTGCATCCTTGGGTCACAGGGGCAAATATTAAAATAATAACCTAGAAAATTTCAGTTCGCAAGTAAACACTTTACGTCACAGAAGCAAATATAAACATCAGATCCCTGGACATTTCCCAAGTATCTTCAATACATCACAGGGTCATATGGATATTACCGAAAATATACTTCCAATGTTACATTCAAAAGGAACTATTTCATAGGCATCAGAACAGCAAAGTTTGAATTAAAAATTTGGGAATTTGATGTTTTCTTATCTAAATCTATAAGATAAAGGCGTTTTCCAATCATCATAACAAACTCGGTAAATACTATAACACATTTATTTTTTGTTTGATCTGCCATTTCTCAGACATAGCTCTCATCTCTCAACATCTTCCCAGAACCAACCTGTTTAGCAGTGTTGCCATAATCGTAAACAGAAGATAATGTTACCCCCATAATAGCTTATTTGTGAACAAAGTAAAATTACGAACTAAGCCTCCGGCCTACGTTGCGCGTTTCGTAGCTTTAAGAGTGAAGCAACACCCGTGGATCGCCTGAATTAGATAGAGCCAGTACGCAAGTTGGCAACTTGCACTGCGAGAGTGCTTTCTCCACAGCTCCATACACTGGCTCTTTGCGACTTCTCTATTTAAATGCAATTGAGAAAATTACATTCCACGCTGTTGAGAGTTGCTAGTCTTTAGGGTCATACTGACAGAAGGGAAAGACAAACAGGTATTTCGGCCCACCGGAAACTCCGTTTCCATAGAAATTGAGATAATCAAATAAAATCCACATCGATCTGACAAGGATTCACGTTGCGAATACCTTAGGGTGCCTTGGAAACAACGCAATTACTAATATGATTAAAGCAGACAGTGTTATGTAATTAATCATTTGGATCGATAAATCAAAGTTCCAGGCGTCAGAGCAGACCAGCAGAAACAGATGGTGTGGGCTCTGATTGGTCAGATTGTCTCCGCCATTTTGGTTACTACGGGGAATTGCGGTAATAAGTTACATTTTCGTATCGGAAAATCAGTTAAATCCTCTGTTTGCGACACAAACGAGCCTACTTTGGTTTCGCACATTATGGTTGTAAAAAGCAAAGCAGATTATGGTCAGGTCGTGAGCCACGATTAAGGGCATGTATCTGATCATGCTTAATCCTTGTTTCATGGAAAATATGATGCATTTTGTGTCATAAATTTTCTCACCATGATTTTATGAGAGACATTTTCGGCCAATTGGTTCTTTATAATCTATAAATTGAGTAGAAAAACAACATCTCTACAAGGTTGAAACATCGACATTTGTTCCACAAATTGCGTTTCTGTCCTAATTATATTTCGTCCTTTCAGTTTCAGGGTAGATACATATTTAACGTGTTTAACATAGTGTTTGTTGGTTTATATTTGTAATGAAAAAACTCACCACCAAAAGAAAACATATGGAGAAATATGTATGTTAAGAAGCAATGTTTCCAATGTGTCCCACTTTATGACCAAACTAACAATCAGTGAAGTGTTACCACAGTGTCATTATTCTAATCGCGACATGCTGCACGTGACTTCCAAATTTTACACCCTAATCCTGAGTCTGGAACTATGACGTCACATGTGATGCGTCCATGAGCGTCGGTTTACACACCATAACGGTTTGTTTGTTTGTGCATCCAACCAATCTGATATCTCTTGTAAATGAGTAATTCTTCATATATTAACAAACATGAATGGTGTAGGCGTTTCTTTTGTCGGTGAGTATAGTCACTTAACATAGAATACAGAATACGGAGGTCCATGTCATTCAGTAATATCAACACTTGACGAATAGATAACAATGAGCCCGGCACATCCGGCATGTTATCACGCACCGTATCCGGTGTCACGTGATATGAGGACGCGTTGATGGGCAGCACCCTTGGCGGGAGAGTGAGTGAGGGAGGTTAATCAATCTTCGAAACATACCACAGTGGATGATAAAGTGTGCTTTCACGGATGCACGTATTCACATATCCCGACAGATAAATATTACGACCCAACACTAGGCCATTACTCCATCCCCACCCAAACAAGCACTTATATCCCAACCCAAGCTCCACAACCCACATGGACCTAGTGGTTATCGGTTGGTTAAAATAACTAGATGAGTTTAATTGGACGGGGACATCTCTGCGTTGACTTTTCAGACTGAATGCTTTCAGTGTCCATCAATTAAGCGTGATTTAGTTGCACAGTCACTGTTAGACGTCACTCACTCACTCACTCACTCACTCACCAGTTTACACATGGCGACGCTCGGACAGAAACTACAACATCACAGAACTGCAAAAATACATGTTAATGATAGAAACGTGCATGGGCATACAGGACAACCCTGTGCAATCCCTATCATAACGTTCATAATACTCACTCTGACTGAATGATTGAATGAGAACTTTTCCTCACATAGATTCTAAAATCCGACCTCTTTGTGTTTGTCTACGCATCACTTCCGACCGATTTGTCTCACATTCCAATCAATTGAAATGAATTGTTTGAACTCGATTCGACTCCGAGTGCTTTTGTATTGATTGTGGCCTGTCGGCAACAACGTGAGTTGCCTAAGGATGAAACATGTATAAGTGCCATTAATATTTAACGATCACTTGTGGAAATAATATATTTAACGACTGTAACAAAACTACTTCCTCCATAACGACAGCTTCTACAAGAAACAAATCCTTCTTCTTCACGACATGCCCATATTTAATTATAATTGGATAAAGTTGACAAAAAGATAAAAAGCGAATTGCATTTAATAAATTTCGTCCTTAGTTGCTTCCATATTAGCTTTTAAACAAAACTACGCTCCAAAAATACTTTCAAATAGCATGGTACCGTTATTTAATAACAATATTCTGTTTTCAGTGAACCTTTTCGACGCGAGAAACCTGAAACAGGTTAACTTGGCCTTCGTTCTCATTGAAAATACATACAAACATCTTACTTGCACAAAATCAATAACGTACTATTTTCATAACGGTGTACTCTGCGTGCTGGGGAAGCCTCGACGATATTCGATTTGTCCAAGGAATGATTATACATAAGATGTAGGATACCATACTATGGAGATCCAATCACTCAAAAAGATAAAAAAAAAGAGGACTGCAATGAAAATAGTTCTTCGTAATGAACGGCAAATAAAAACGCCATGCTTGATTTAGCATCAACTGTCAAGTCCCCCTTTCACTGATCCAGCCTGGTATTTCAATAATAAGGCTGGAATAATGAATTCTGTATGCATGGTTATTTATTTACGACATACTTTCAGGGATCAGAGATATCAGTATCGATGGTAGCAATTCCAGAATAAGTAACAACTGCATTGAGCAATATTCCAGCATTATGACGGAGGTCTGTAAATAATCGAGTCTGGACCAGAGAATCAAGTGATTGACATCTTGAACGTCGATCTACGCAATTGGGATCGATGACATGCTTCAAACCAAGTCAGCGAGCCTGACCACCCGATCCCGTTAGTCGCCTCTTACGACAAGCATGTGTTGCTGAAAACGGGTATACTGACATGTAGTGATGCAATGAGAGGTATACATAAGGCTTGTATACCCCTGGTACCTCAATAAGACAGAACCGCCTCCGTGGTCTAATGGTAGAGCGTCCGCCCGGAGAGCGGAAGGTCCGGGTTCGATCCCCGGCCGCGTCATACCAAAAGACGTTAAAAGATGGTACTTGTTGTTACCCTGTCTGACGCTCGGCATTAAGGGACTAAAGCAAGGACTGGTCGGCTCGGAGTCAGTATACTGTGTCTGAGTGGAGTATTCATGTTAAACTGCGGCATGGTATCTCAGTGAGCTAGCACTATAAATCGGCATCAGTCCGGACTAGTACAAGCAGCCACACAAACACCCACACGTACATGCA